CCTCCATTCTTCCCTCCTTCCTTTTCTCTCTTTCCTCCATTTATACCTCCCCCTCCCCTTTTCTTTCCTCTCCTTCCTTCCTCCATTCTTCCCTCCTTCCTTTTCTCTCTTTCCTCCATTTATACCTCCCCCTCCCCTTTTCTTTCCTCTCCTTCCTTCTTCCATTCTTCCCTCCTTCCTCTCCTTTCCTTTTCTCTCTTTCTTCCATTTATACCTCCACCCACCTTTTTCTCTCCTCTCCTTCCTTCTTCCATTCTTCCCTCCTTCCTCTCCTTTCCTTTTCTCTCTTTCTTCCATTTATACCTCCACCCACCTTTTTCTCTCCTCTCCTTCCTTCTTCCATTCTTCCCTCCTTCCTCTCTTCTTTCCTTTTCTCTCTTTCCTCCATTTATACCTCCCCCTCCCCTTTTCTTTCCTCTCCTTCCTTCCTCCATTCTTCCCTCCTTCCTCTCCTTTCCTTTTCTCTCTTTCTTCCATTTATACCTCCACCCACCTTTTTCTCTCCTCTCCTTCCTTCTTCCATTCTTCCCTCCTTCCTCTCTTCTTTCCTTTTCTCTCTTTCCTCCATTTATACCTCCTCCCTCCCCTTTTCTCTCCTCTCCTTCCTTACTTCATTCTTCCCTCCTTCCTCTCTTCTTTCCCTTTCTCTTCCCTCCATCTATCCCTCCCCCTCCCTTTTCCTCTTCTCTCCTTCCTTCCTTCCCCCAATCTTCCCTCCTTCCTTTCTTCCTTCCTTTTCTCTCTTTCCTCCATCTATCCCCCCTCTCTTTTTCTCTCTTCTCTCCTTCATTCTTCTCTTCTTCTCCCCATTTTTTCCTCCTTCTATCCCTCACCCCTCCCTTTTTCTCTTCTCTCCTTCCTTCCTTCCTCCCTCCTTTCTTTTTTCCTTCTCTCTCTCTCTCTTTCTTTCTCTTTCTTTCTTTCTCTCTTTCTCAATACCCCCCACCCTCCGTTCTTTGCTTAGCAGGCTTCAGCGAAGCTGACTGGGAACAAAAATGGACACCCCCCCTCTCCCACGTTTCCAGAGAAAGTGTAGTTTTAAAAAATGCTTTAAAAGTTTTTTAAAAAACTTCCAAAGCTCAGCTGTGCAATGTGCAATCACCAAAACGTGTTTCTTGAAACTTTTTTTTTAGTATTTTTTTTGCTACAGGTTTGGGTGAATTGGCCCGAACTGGTAGCATTTCACCCCTGCTACCCATCCCTTCTAACCGTGCGTTCGAGTTCTCCCATGCCGTACTCAGAAAGAAGAGATTCCATAGACAAAGAAGCACCCAGGAGGCCTTAACAAGAGACGGTCTCCCTCCCTCCGTGGGATTTTCCCATCGTGCCTTGCAGAAGATGACCCAGAGACTCACGGAGACACGTCCTGCCGTCCGCGTGGAGACGAAATCTTGGCTGGCACTCGCAGTGATAGCTCCCTGGGGTGTTGACACATCTGTGCTGGCAGCCTCCGTTGTGAGTTTGGCACTCGTCAACCTCTGGAAAGGAAACAAGATGGAAGCGGGACAAAAACTCTGCTCGGCAGCCACGCCAGCCAGCTCCCCACTCCGCAGAGGATTGTCTCCGGTGTCAAACGCCAAGATCCCTTCCAGCTCTATTCTGATTAATTGATTGAAATGGCCTAGAAGTCTCCTGCTTGAGCAGGGAGCTGGACTAGAAGACCTCCAAAGTCCCTTCCAGCCCTATTCTGATTGATTGATTGATTGAAGAGGTCTAGGGTCTCCTGCTTGAGCAGGGGGTTGGACTAGAAGACCTCCAAGGTCCCTTCCAGCTCTATTCTGATTGATTGATTGAAATGGCATAGAGGTCTCCTGCTTGAGCAGGGGGCTGGACTAGAAGACCTCCAAGGTCCCTTCCAGCTCCAGATTGATTGATTGATTTAAATGGCATAGAGATCTCCTGCTTGAGCAGGGGGCTGGACTAGAAGACCTCCAAGGTCTCTTCCAGCTCTATTCAGATTGATTGATTGATT